AGGGAAAGATTAGAAAACCTTAAGTACAGGGAAAAATTCTACTTAAAAAAACTCATTCTGGCTGAATAGGAATATAAAAATAAAAATCACGAAAACAATTTATAAAATGAATAAGTAGACAAGTGTTATGAAATGGTCTGAATTCCCACGAGAAAGTTTAGGCTTATTTTCTATTTGCATGAAGTTTGCAGATAGGTGAAGTTGAAAAGTTTGAAAAAATGCTCCAAACCAAACAAAAACAACATAGGAAAAAGTTATTTCCTACATAAACACAAGGGTTAAATTGCATAGAGCCAAGTGTTGCAAGGGCCACAGAACACTATCTCTGGACATTGCAATACTTAAATATCACAATCACTTTCAAGAAGAATTGTGACAGAAAACAAAACTAAACACTTCCACCGCCCCATTGAGTACCCATTCACTGTGGTGTTTTATGTAGCAAACGCAGCACTGGCAGTACTACATTTTGATTTGTACCTTTAGTTGAACCCTTGGCAAATCTCATTGTAGAGCTCCCCTTGAAATTGCTTCCAACTGTCTCTAATCCTTTAGGACTCTTAGAAAGAAGCCTGTAATTTTAATTTAAGAGTTTATAATTCATCTAAAACTGTAATTGTACAAAAATAGTTGAAGCTTCATGGACTGCATGTCTGAAAGGATATTTAAAAATACATTCTAGGTCTTAAAAGATTACAGTAAAGATTTGTGTTTCTCTTTCTTCTAAAAATATATTAATTGAAAAGAAAAAAGCACTCTCTGCTGAATTGGCCATTGTCCATTTGGCAGCAAAAGCTTTTACTCAGATATAGAACGCTACATCCAGACTACTACTTTGATTTTAGAGCCAAACCAAAACTGTTACCTTCCTTGGACACCCATGTCAAAACTACCATGGCACTTTTGTGGTTTTAGGTAAAATACAGTACGTATGGAGTTCACATCAGTTTTACAGGACTAAACACTGATGGGTGAAGTTTGGAAGACCAAAACACAGCCTCTCCAGTATTACACATCACATAAAATACAGACATATAAAACTAGGAACATACGTATCAGTCCTGCTTCGGAAAACGGCAGACAGGCAAGTTATTTGTCAGACCGTTCTCCTGAATTTGTGGTGAGGTAAGAGCCAACATGGTGTATTTTCAGCACAATGCCACAAACTCAGGAGAACTATGGCAGGGACATCTCATTTTAGCATCTATTACAAAAACAAAAAGCCACAAAACTTATGTGAACTGTACGATGCATGTGAGAAGTGACCTTTTATTTCATGTCACCATTAACACCAACTTAGCAATGTATTTGGTACAGTTTCAGAACTGTCACACAACCCCTTCTCCCTCTGAAAGCAGTCTGGACTTCCATGGGGATGCTGACGAGATGCATATGCCAAACTAACTACCTGCTAGGTAAGAAAGAAGCTTTGAGAACTGGATGACAGTTATCTGCTTACATGACTGTTTCTCTCTCCACTTCCCACACCTATGAAAAATGCTGTCACTTGTACAGACTCTTTTTCTGAAGTCTGATCAGGCTTTTTGCTTGTTTATAAATTTCAAAACACTACAAATTATCCATATTTAAAATAGTAATTATAGAAAACAATCAAGAAAAACTAACAAAGTCCAACACATGCTAGAGTGCTATCCTGACTGAAGAGAATTTTCTCAGGCAAAGCCTAAGCACACACATTAAAGCTATTCATATTTACCTGTATTAACAGGATACCATTTTGCCACCAGTCACTACGTAAATGTGGATGACCCACAATCCAGACAGTCTAATGCCTAAATCATTTGCCCCAAACTACTAACAATATTGTACAGAGCTCGTTTGCATTCAAAGGAACACAGCTTCACTGGAAACAGACACTTGGCATTTGAATGCTGGAAAAAAACCCTTCATTTTTCTGTCTGAGATAGAGCACCTGAGAAACAAGAAGGCTATTTCCTGCATACTTGTATATGGCAAAAACCATATTTCTTTTAAATAGATTGTTTTATTCTTTTATTTCTACTACTTTCTGCTTACCGCTTCTCAATGAATCATCTACCACGCTACTGCCAGATCCCATTATAGGGCTACTATAGCTGAAGCAAGATTTATTAAAAGAAATTAATCACATGTTTGATTGTGTACAGGTGGCCAAAGCCACCCTGGAAAACAAAGTTATCAATTTTGTCTGTTTAAATAATTTGGAGGTCAGATTTTGGCTTTACAGATGAAGTACTAAGAAGTCACACGAATGTTTAGCAGGCAATCTGATCAGTTGCAAATACATACAATTACTTGACACAGAATCTCCAGCTATAGAAACTAATGTTATTGTCATAACACCTAAACACGCTTCTACTATCAGATGCAGATTGTTAGTCCCTATGCAGATCCCTTTATCAGACAAGCTTCTCGGAGATTTTCCTGTAATTCACAGAGAGCTGATACATTTTGGAATTTGGATGTTGCATATTCTATTTTAAATTGCAGAAATAAGTTCAAGTCCTAGATCTTTCTGTCCCTCCCGTGTACAGACTTCTGTCATCCTGTTCCTTTCTCAAATACATCCCCGCCGGCACAGAACCTCAGCACAGTCCCCTCCGCCGCATGAAACTTCTGCCAGTTCCTCTCTTTTCTCTCTGATCCTGTTCTTAGGCCCTGTCCCTGCTCCGTCCACACCTCACCGTATACTTTCTTCTAGGCAGCCGAATTACTTGGGCACTTACAGCAGAAACATTGAAAGCGGTTGTATCGCCTTGGTCAAAAGATTGGACTAATGGTTATGTGAATGTATATACACTTAACTAACATACCTATACTTCACTAATTCTACTACTTTACTAAGCATCAGAGCAACAGTGATGTGAGGACCCAAAGCACTGAGAGGGAAAAAATGACTGTATACCCACGTAACTGCAGACTATTAAGATACAACAAATACAAGGCAGAAAGATCCGAAATTATTTCTAAGCCAATCCTTACTGAAAGGAGTAGGGCCTAAAGGCCCCAAACTTACCACTTATAGGTAAATTACTTCCCAGGAAAACACAAACCACAATGGAAAACACTCTCAGAATTAGCAACAGGGGTTTATGTCATCTTTCCTATCTCCTTTCAAGTGTTCTTTCTGAATTTTTCAGACAGTTGTCTTGTTGTCATCTGTTTCACGAGGCAGAAAATAGGGACAGTGGGGTTTACAGCACCAACAAAAGCTTTGATATTCTAAACATAACAAGTATCTACAAACAACAGTGAAATGGACTAGTGCTACTAGTTTTCCTTACTACCATAAACAAGTAATTTTCCTTTTAAACATATTATAGTGCAATCCTCAAAAGCACTGAAATGCTTTTCCACCATTTCCAATTCTACTTGTACCCAACAGCACACGAC